ACATGTTTAAATGTTCTCCAAGCTTATGATAAGAGATATCTGGCTGCACGTAATTCAAAAATCTCACGAAATATGCGAAAGCATGAAAACATTTCTAAAAGTACAAAGACAACTACAATACAATTCTGCCAACAAGAAAAACACATACACAACCCACATTTATCTATTCACAACATGTTAACAGCAGCAACAACAGCAGCAGCTACAACAAAAAAAACCATAACAAAACAACAACAACAAACAACAACAGAAGAAGGAGAAGAAACACACATAATTACAAGAGAAGACCCGCGTATAAATCCTTCGAGGTCACATCGACATAAACAGCATAACCTTTATTATACCTGCGAATAATAACCATAGTATTGCTCGTCTGAGCTTAAATGCATACACCGCCATACAACAAACACATAAACAAAGCGAATTTTTAAACAAATAAACTAAAGCAAATAAACATTACCTTCATTCATACAAAGACATGGCAAATACCGAATGATGTATTTTGAAATTTGTGTGGATGTATTTATATATAGATATGTGTGTGAATGCATCTAAGTGAATGTATGTGTTATATGTGTTAATGTATGTATGTATGTATGCAGGTATGTATGCAATGTGTGTTGTACAATTATGTAGATGTGGGTGTTAAGGCCAACAATGAAATACCAAGCCATAGCGTTAATAGAAAATCTTCTGTTCTGGCATGTGTGCAATCCTTAAGAAATCGCTCTTTCATTTGTTAGTTACATTGCGTGCCTATAAAGAAGCTTATAACTTGAGTTCTGATGAAGATGATTAGAAATGCACTGGCAACATGATAACGTCGGTGATGACATGACGATGATGATGATATAATGGTGACGATGAAGGTTGATGGTTAATGATAATCTGACAAAGATAATGATGATGAAGGAGTTGTGTCTTTGCAACTGATCAAGAGTTTGGAAAATTAGATTGAAATGATAGGAGAGAGTGTTGGCTTTATTAAAAATTATTAGAAATTTGTGCAAACAGAGAAGAAATTACATAAATTTTCAATTTCAATAATTCACACTAATGAAATAAACTTTCAAATTTCACCCACCTTCAAAACCGGCATTTTCATTTGGTGTTTTATCAAATGTTTGACCTAGTTCACGACCAATGTTAACGGTCTGTGAAATTTTATTGGATGTGATTGCGTCGTTAAACTTATGACCTGATTTCTCATTGGTTGGATGCATTTTGTTCTCTGTTTTCCTATTGGTTGTTATTTTGATTTCAGCGCTGTTATCAATGTTAATGTTATTGTAATTATTCTCACGATCGACATAATCAGTGGCGCCTCTGCTCATATCGTCGTCCGTTTTATTGATGTAATTTCTGTTTCTGTTGATGCTGTTGTTGTTGGCGGTGACGTCATTATTGATGTTGTGGTTGATGTTGCTGCTGCAATCGTCAATGATGAATTGATGGTGGTGGTTGTCGTTGTCGTCGTTGTTGTTGTCGTTGTTGTTGTGATTTTCCAGACACTCAACGTTATCCACTCCATTGATGTTCTTCGCGTTAATTTTTTTTATCTTTCTTTTTCTCCCGTTACCGTTCCAGCTACTGCTGCTGCTACCTCCACGTCCACTGTCGCTCTCGCTTCCGGAAACGTTTGAAATGACGTCATCGATGGAGTTTTTTACGAATACCACGATTGGTTTGTGGTCCAGCCCTTTCTTGGATGGTGATGATGGTGATGATTTGGATGATGGTAGTGGTGATGATGAGGTTGATGATGATGAGTATGACGATGTTGTTTGTAAAAGTACCAATAACAATGGTGATAATATGGGTAATAACTACAATTTTTAACACAAACAAGTTAATATATAAAATGATGTTGAATGATTTAAGACAATATCGCCAGGACATAATCAGAAAATATGACCAAATCGAAAGATACCACATGCGAATCTAACATTTATTTTACTAGTAAACAAAATACAGACGTTGAAGATATAGAAATCAATTAAAATGTTTCAAACATCACAAGTTACCACCTCTTTCAAGTTGGACTTGCCTCCCAAGCTAGCAGTCCCATCGCCATGCCCACTGCAAAGCAAGCCATTGGTCGAGTGTATGGACTCATCGGCGAGACACGTCACAACTACGTCATCAACGACAACGTCACGACTGCATCGGGCGCTCATCTCATTCAACAGGCATTCGTCCGCTATTTTAGTGGCAAGAGCGTTTTTGAAGCTGTCGTTATCCTCGTCGTACTCGCGTTTGGATGATGAAGCGGCCACATTTTTAGACTGAATGGCTATTAATTGCTTGTGTTTGCGCACTCTTGCGAAACAAATTATTGAAAGGAGTGATGTTATGGCGCCGAATATGGCCACCAGGGTCACCGACAAGATGACCGCTAGTTTCTCGCTGGCCAACAATTTATAAATACTGCGTGCTGTAAAAACTGCTTGCTTGTTGTTGTTGTCGGCATTGTTGTTGTTGTTGATATAGTACAAGACACGCAAAAAACCGCTATCCAGTAATATAGCTTCCTTTGCTCCGTGATTGATCCACTGGGAGTTGGGAGGTGGTGGTATGTTTTTGTTGTTTTTGTTGTTGTTTTCTGAAAAATTCATACTTATTTTTACATCAACGCCATCATCATCTACGTTATTCTCATCATCATCATTATCATCATAATCGACATTAATGCCGCGGTCATCATCATTATCTTCATCATCATCACTATCCTTGCTGTCAATATTGATAAGACCATCTCTTACAACTGAGTTAACTGCCGAATGGTTTCTATTTGTGAATTTGTTATAGGAATCGAAGGAGGATTTTGATTTGGAGGGTGACGCTGAAGTTGTTGTTGATGTGGTGTGGGATGTTTGCACAATTTGAAACAGCAAGACTTTGAGCAGAACATCAAAATTACTGCCTAGAAGAGATGTGTCAATATTCGAAATAATGGAACCGGTTTTGGGATTGATTTTAAAATATTCGCATATGCTAAAACTTTTTAAATCGTCGTTATTGTCAGTTTGTTTTTGGTTACTTTTATTCAAATCATTCTTAAATCCTCTTTTGATAGGATAGACAATGTGGTTGAAGTTGTCGTTCAACTGAGCTAATCTGTACTCAAGATTTTCAGGTAGGTAGGTCTCTTCACTGGCTACTAATGAAATTAGTCGTTGGTTTTGTATATGTTGTTGAAAATGTTGATAATGATGAGATTGAGGATGATGATGATGTGGGTGTCGCTGATACGAGTTCTGAGAACTTTTTAATGTTAGGCGAACAACTTCATCGCCAATTTTCAAGTTGTTGTTTAAGACGACGCTCGGAATGGTTACGCTCCCAGAGTCTTCCTCTTCCTCATTAACATAATGCTTCGTGCCGCTGCTACTTATGTTAACGTTCTTATTTTTAACGTTGTTGTTGTTGTTAATGTTGTTTTTGTTGTTGTTGTTGTTAATGCGGTATCGATATGAGACATGCGGTAAAGTTGAGAAATCGATGAGTTGAGCATTACGAGACGGAGGGACTGGTTCGATAGCATTCAAATGTGCACGAGAACCGTTCAACTCGATCATGACGGTGGCAGTGGTCGAGCTGGGCTGGTTCCTGTACGTTGACGTCGCTATGACGTCAAACAAATAAGGCGCTTCTGATGATGATGGTAGTAATGATAGCAGTGATGGCGAGGTTGATAATTTTGATGATGACGCAATCGACGATGAGGATGATGATAGTGATGATGTATAGGATGAAAGCGGAACCGACGATGTTATTGGCGACAACGACGACAACGAGGGGAAAGATAGAAACAAATTTTTAAAAAACGCAAGACTTCGTGACGTCACGATAACCCCTGTTCTGACATCAATACTGAACGGCAGACTATCTTCCTCATGCTCCGATCCCTCTTCCTTATCGTTGACGTCAAAATTTGTTGGGCAGTTTTTTTTGAATGCCGGAACGCTCCTATCACTCAGACTTGATGAATGTAATTTGTATGATATTCGTGAAAAATTGGAAGAATCTCTATCAACTGCCCTGACTCTTCCAACAATGCTTCCCGGTGTCGTGGCTTGGTACTCTCCTATGCTGAAGTGATAACGGAAATAAGCAAACGTGGGTTTCTCGTCATCAAAGTCGGTTACATCTATCCTTATTTTCGTTTTGGCAGCTGCAAAATGTTCTTCCGCTAAAAAAGTGGTGAACATTTCACTCGATTGTTTTGTTGGCGTTGTGGTTTTGTTTCGTTGGTTTTTATTGTTGTGGCCATTATTGTTGTAGTCAACGTGGCTGTTGCTGTTGTTGTGGTTGTTGTAGTGTTTGTGCGGTACCGCTAATATTTCTAAATCGTAAAATGATTTTTTCTCTCTGTCGAACGATACCGCTGCAACGATGACACCGTCGGCAGTTATGTTGATGACGTCATGGTAGCTGGGGTGGTTCGTGTTGACGATTAACTTGTAGTCACTTTCGTTCAAAACCTTCTTGTGGCTTTTGACAACAGACTCTTGTTTTGGTGTATTGCTTTTGTTGGGTTTGTGTTTCGCTTTATCAACTATACTGCCGTCCGGCATGACTTCACGAAAAATTAACTTCAATTGAAAAATATTCAAACCGACTATATTGTTTTCTTGGATGAACGCATGATACAGAGGTTTTTGAAAAAATGGAGTCATGTGAGGCTCTGGTTTGACAATTTTGATGCTGAATGTTTCATGTGAGGTCAGAGGAGGGGTGCCTTCGTCGTGACACGTGACGTAGAAGTCGATGATGATGTCATCACCAAGTTGGTTCAACTGATTTGAGGTAACAACTTTGAATTCATTTAGTTGAATGGGCAACAGTTTAAAATTTGGGTCGTTTGAGAAATACTTGAGAGATAAGTCGTGTTTCAATTTGTTGTTTTCTTTGCGATTCTCATGTTTAAAGTTGATTTTGTTGCTGCGTATTACCTTTTGGCTATCACGTCTCACTTTGGTGGAACGACGTCCCGTCTCCAGCCAGCACCAAAATCTGGCATTGTTTCCTAAATCGTTGTCATTGACGACGAAATGCTGTACGAAAGTGTCGGGTCCACTCATGCTGCTGATTTCAAGAGGGGTGTCACGTTTGGCATACATTCGAATGTGCGGCGAGTTGTCATTGACATCCAGCACGTGCACACTGATGCTTGCATGGGCTGATTTTTTGTCGACTTCTGCGGAATCTGCGGCTACCACGTGTATCCTATAGAAGTCTTGTTTCTCTCGATCAAGTTCCTTTCCGAGGTATAGCTCTCCCGATTGGCTATCAATTTTGAATATATCACCGTACTCGGAAGCTGATTGGTCGCTTAGTTTGTAAGTCACGTGTGCGTTCACTCCAATGTCGTTATCGGTGGCTCGCAACTGAGTGACTATCCAACCGGTTGGAGCGTTTTCGCTGACCGTCGTGTTGATAGTCGATTTGTCGAAAACTGGTGAATTGTCGTTGGCGTCGGTAACTTCGATTGAAATATCAAGTGTGCCCGTGAGAGCCTGGTGTCCGCCGTCCGTGGCCAGCATCTGGAACAAGTTCAATTTTTAGTTGTTCTAAGTTGTTCTTTATTGTTCTTACGTTTTAGAACAATTTAACTACTTTATTGTATCGTTATGCATTTCAAACTGATTAAATTTTCAACATAAATTTTTTAATTATCTTAGTTTTATTTCATAAAAACGTGTTTGCTCTTTTATTCAAGTTTTTTCCAAAGATAATTTTTCAAAAAAAAAAAAACAATTAAATTTCATTAACAAAACAATCATGAGTCAGTTTTCTATTTATTATCAATTAATTGATTTATTTATACATTGTTTTATTTTTTATCTAAAATTCTGCCTTTATTTCTCGATCCGTTCACACAAAAATTTATTCAACCATTCATCGATCCATCCATCTTTTTTCAACTTCCAATTTTTTCGCCACTTGGCAATTTAACATTCCATCAATATCAATACTCATTCAGCTATCCATACACTGAGGCTCTGTTCATCCGTCATTATTCAGTCAACTATCTATCAGCTCATTTCCCATCAATCAAACAATCTACTATTACATTTGTTAATCAACCATCCAATTAAATATTCAATCAACCAATATTCAATCACTTATAGTCAATTAAAACAAGCCAATTAAACAAGTTGATGGCTAACCTTCAAATTGTAGAACTGAACTTTTTCTCTATCTAGCGGCTTTTTCAGTCTCAACCTCACTTGTTTGTCAACATTCTTATTAAAATCAACGCCGAGAAATTCACCATCATATCTACCACCACCACCGCCACCACCGCCGCCGCCGCTGCTACCAATTCTAACGTGGCCACCACTTCTGGCAGTCAACTCAAAAACATCGGAAGCGGGCAGAAGTTCGTACGTAATTTCACCAGACCTTCCCAAATCTTCGTCAAGTGCTTGCGGTAAGAAGAAAGTGCTGTTGACCTCCAGGGCCTCCGAAATCGGTAGCTGCACGCGATCGGGATGGAAGTGTGGCGCGATGTCGTTGATGTCGAATATGTCCAAACGGACGCTGATGATTTTAAAATGTTTCCCGCGCCGAGCACCAATGTTGTAACTTTTAAAACAAGGTGGTGAGTTGTTGAAGAGTGTTGTGTCGCTTGTGGTAGCGTAGGTGGCTGCGTGGCTCTGAACCGATCGCTTGGATTTATTGACGTTTGGTAATACAGTAAATGGTGGCAATAATAAATTGGAACGCATTGATTTCGGTGAAAAAATTGATGATGAAATTAACGGAGGTTTTGAGGTTGATGATAATTGGAAATAAAAATTTCTCGTATCTTCAAACTTATTGCTGTTATTAAAAAAACGAAACGAACAATTTTTGGTGCTGTGCTGTTGACAAATAACATCAGCGCTAATATCATCTTCTTCATCAGCGTCTCTGCTGTTCAAAGTTTTGTTTGTTGACATTGCTGCCGAAGCTAATGAGTTTGACGATGAGATTGATAACGAGGGTGAAGATGATGATGATGATGATGACACTGTTGAAATGAAGGATGATCTATTCGATGGCGATGGTGTGGTGGAAGATGGTGTCGTTGGCGACCAGAACATTTTTGAAGTTGTTGATGATGGTGATAATAATGGTGAAAATGATGAAGAGTGAGATTTAGATGACGGTGATGAAATAGTTGATGACGCTGAGGATAATAATAATGACGATGATGGTGATGCTAATGAAGACAAAAAAGTTGATGACGATGATGAAGGTGACGAGAATGACGATGACCTAGATGTTGACTGCTTAAACAGTATCTTCCTGTTTAATGAGTTGTCTTTCCAAAAATGACCCGTCCGTCTAACTTTTTTGTCATGCACATAGTCATTGAACATTCTATCGACCAAATGTCTGCGGCGTTTATTTTTGAAGCTATATTTTAATAAGTCATTTGTTGAAAAGGTTGATTGTGGAGACGAAGGGTCTGACATAAAAAAGGAGTTGCACAACGTTTCTCGATCGATTCTTCTGGCGATTTTGACGGTGCCGTTAATTGTGTCAACGCTTATCAGCGGTTCCTCGCCGTGCTTTGTAAAAATGCTGAATCGAAACGTCTCCGAAATGTTTGAAGTGCTTTTCGGTAGTTTGGTGTCTAGGTCAAGTTGGGAAATAAGTTGACCTATTTCGGTGTTAATTTCCATCTCCTCTGTAATGTTGTAGATGAGGTTATCTGCTTGGTACTGGTTGGAAGGTTCGTACGCGTTGAAGTTCGGATGGACTTCTGGCAGGTTGTTGGACAGCAGAAACAAAAACGTAACTAAATTTGCCGGCATTTCTAAGAGAGGTCGCTGTTCAGATGTAAAAATTTATTTCGACGTTTTCATGGTTTGATTCGTATAATATGTCGGAGGGCAGTTGAATTTGAGCAGATGTTGATATTAACAATGTCGTAAATATTATTGTCTTACATTGTCCAATCAATTTTTCGATGTTAATATTGACTAAGATGGCCGTTGTAAAATGAGTGTTACATAGAGGTTGACGTCATTTTTCATGCTGAAATGAGTAAGTAATGGAGAAGATGATTAAAATTAGTAGGACAATGAAAGATGTATAGATAATGATCATGATGCAGATAATTATGACGACGAGGATGATGTAGAAAAGGATGGTGGTTCATCTTCATTGCACTAATTACATTTTATTCCACATTATTGACTAACATACTTACTGGGAGATACTTTCAAGATTAAACAACGTTGTAATGACGAAAATGATTTAACTGGATTTATAATAATGTTGGTGATAATGACGATGATAAAATGATTATACCGATGTCTCTATTATAATTATTAAAACTGAACAAAAAGTTTTTTATTTGAAAATATCTTTGCTGGTAACCGTGAAAACTTGAACATAAATGCGGTATTGATGATGATGAAGAAAACAATTTTAATAATAATAATAATAACGACGTTAATGATGATGATGTCATTGCCACATCTATCTTAGGTTATATAATTATGACTCTATTAGCAGTGAGAATGATGGTGCTAAAGGACGAATTTGACGTTGATGGGGATGATGAAGATGATGAGGATGACGTTGTCGTCGCTGATGACGATGATGTTGCTGCTGATAATGATGCTTCCAAAAATGATGATGGCGATGATGATGGTGACGACGATGTTGGTCCTGAAGCAAAAGCAGCAACATTAGTTGATCAAATGAAATTCCTAAGAATGAAAAAAATATTGTCTCAATTAAATTTTTTTCGACAATTTACTAAATAAAATTAGATAGAACTTAATTTTTTAGGAAAAAATTAATTAATTAAATGGTGTTTAGTTTATAACAATGTGAAAAGAGTTTCAATGCTAATAGCTAGGCAAATCGTAACAACGCCGCAATTAAACATTCTACATTTATTGTATTTGCAATTAGAATTGTGATGTATTTCAGAAATTTAATCGAAAAACAACCAAAAGAAATATTTGATTGTCATTGTTTCTTTTATAACAATTATTAATCTGTTGTATCATTTTACTTGATACATATAAGATACAAGATACATACAGGATACAAGATACAGGATACATTCGTGTACTATAAATAATAAACCATCAAGTCGGGCTAGCACCGTACATGCTAACTTATACTCACATATGAATTAGTGGGCACTATATATTAACTACGTGTGTACGTTGTTGGGTGTGCGTGCGTGTTTGTGTGCGTGCGTGTTTGTGTGCGTGCGTGTGTGTTTGTGAATGTGTGTTTAAATGTACACCACTCAGCCAAACATTAGAGTTAATTTTAAGTAAAAATTTTACTAAGTAGTTTACTAGAACGTACTCTTTGCAAGAACCATTTAATTAGATTTAGTATTTATAACTTCATTACTTTCCAGATTTTTTGAATGTTATCAGATTTCTCTCTTTCAGCTATAAATATTGTCATATTATTGTAATTGTTTTTCCTTTATAAATTTTCAATTTTCCGCCTTGGTGCTTAATTATATGTGCTGTTATAAAATGTTATAATTCTCATCATTAAATTTTATCATCGTCGTCATCATATAAAAAACTTAACAGCATAATTTTTGTTGCAATCATGATGCTTTCATTCATCATCATTTTCAGCATCAGTGATGCTGGTATATCGGTTTTGTTATCACTGTGGTCGAGATTCATCACCGAATTCTTATCATCCTAACAATTTTAGTCATAGTAATTAATCATTATTATAAAAAAAATATTTTTTAACTATAATGAAGTTAGTTTAACTATTCTATAGCGTACAAAGTTTAATTAACATCTTTTTCATCATCATTACATCGTCATTGTCGCAAAAACCCTCGACATCATCACTATCATCATCATCATCATTATCATCATCATCGCCATGAACGTCATCAACATAACTCAGCAGCGAGAACGCATATTAATGACGTCATGCATTAATTTACGCAGAGAGCTGCGAAGATGGCGAACAATGAAAATAAACAACAACAACAACTACTACTACTACTACTACAACAATTACTACAACAACTTTGACAACCATAACAACAACACCAATGAAAATGACATCAACAACAAAATTTATAACACTAACATCCAAATCCAAATAATTTAACATCAAAAATATATTCAACAACAAAAATAAGCACAGACGTGAACATTTGACGTGAACAACAATTTCAACAATTTCAACAACAACATCAACAACATTAACGCAACAACACCGTTCGGATAGAAAAAAACTTGAAAAAAATAACAATGATAACACAATGAAACCACCTTGAAATATATTTAGAATATATTGAGACACAACCATCATGTGAACAATACAAAATTATCCATGATATACATTACGTTGTAACGTATTGTAATCAAATTATACACAAAAATTGACGTCATTAACCAGAAAATAATAATTGCAAAATTAATGGCGAAATTAAATAGAGAACAAAAAGAAAAAAATGGCGTCGTTAACTTGAGTTATCATTCTCACGAATAATAAAAATAATAATAATAATAGAAATAATAATAATAACAACAACATCGACAAT